GCCTAACACTATGTATTTTCTGTCAACTCCGCCTGCGAAGGGGCGCCTTCGCTTTCTTCCGGCTTGCACTTAGAGCCGTCATCATGGTCTCTTTCTTTACTGAATTTTTCTTCGTCTGCTTCCCCTTCCCCTTCTTCTTCTTCTTCCTTCTCGCCCTCCTTCTCCTGCAACAGCCGATCGGCAGCGTCACCACTGACGGCGTCAAGGGACTCGGGTTCGTTTTCAGGAACCTCCTCCTCTTCCCCGTCATCTACGCTCTCCTGAAGCTGACTGAGGTCAGTGAGAGCGGCCTCAATCAGGGCATCTACCTGGCCGGGACAATGCACTTCATATTCCCTCTGTGAAAAAAGAAAGGAAGGAAGACTTTGTAGGTTGGTCCTTTTTGCGGACAAAACAGGTGCGAAGTTTCCTGTGCCACTGTCTTTATTACACAATGAAGGGATTGAGGTTGGAAATAAATACGATCCATTGTTTCCATGAATGTGGTATAATGTTGCCACAAGTCTAAACGTTACCATCCAATTACACCTTGTTCGAATTCCCAAGGAGAACACAGCAGCAACTGCGCAAAAATGAAAGTCTACTAGCATACCTACAACGGCTCATATTTAAGACAAGCAAAGCGTTACAAGATCGGACCAAACAGATTGTGTCCTCAAGTGAGTGGCGAGCCGATTGGTGTGTTAAGCCTGGCCGCAGTTTGCGCGGCATCCCCACATGCGCTGCGTGTTAGCGGATCGATAGCGTGTCGTGAGAGCGAATCACCCGGGGCTGCGTGCGAGCGAATCGGTTAGGATGGCTCCTAACAGAAAGTTCACCGATTGCTAACGGAAATCACTCGTCCAGTTCTACCTTAAGGCTTCTTCTCGAGCCCTGCCAACAGTCGCACAGCGGCAGATAGCACTGAGAAGAAAACGACTCGATTGCTGGGACAATACATTGATTCGCCTGACTTATCGAGATCCGTCGTGGATTCACTATCAGAGACAAACGAGATGGCCAAAAAAGTCACACCGACCCCAAAATTGGCGAGCGATCCCGTACGTAAAAAAGGTCTCGAAGGCTGTCGGCCGCCTTCTCGCACCAATTAGAGTTGGAGTCCCACACAGGCCGGAGGCAACCACAAGGCGTCAGATAATGGAACCCATAGACCAACTACCACGCCCTCAAAACATCTGGAGTCGTCTACCGGATCTGATGCAGTTGCGGGCAAAGAAAACATGTCAGAGAAACTGGCCGGCTTCTCAAGACGCAAATTGCCGAACACGCGGCAGCAGTACGGCGAAATGATGCAAATTCTCAAATTGCGGCTCATTTGACGAGACCCGGCCACACATTCAAGTTTTACGAGGCCGAATTTCTCGCAAGAGGTGACAGTCGGGTACGCCGAGAATAACTTGAGTCATGGTTCACGGGCCCCCAATGCGTAAACAAGTGCAACGATTTGCCCAATCCATATTCGGTGCTGAGACTCAAT